TGTCCCTTCTCCCCCGAGCCCTCCCTCCTCCCAGGAAGTCTCTTCCCTCCTTCATCCAAGATTCTCTTTCACTCTCCTCTTCTACCTCCCTTCTTCCCTTCTCTGCCTTCTTCGCCGTCCCCTAGGAAGCCCTCCTTGATTACAGGGGAGAGTGAGGACATTGCTGAGTCACCAGTCACTGTTCAGCACCGCATTGTCCTCCTGCTGGACTCGGCGAGCCAGGACCAAGGGGTGGCGGCACCCTCTGTTCAGCCCCTCCACTCCTGCTCCTCCTTCCTCTTTGGAATAAGCCAAGTTCTTTCTGAAGTGTAGGCAGAGACATAAGCATGCAAGGATAGGCAGACACAGTCTCAAAAAGAAGCATGAGGGGCCCAGTCCTACAGGTGTTCAAAACAGCCCAGAGCAACATTAGCTGAAGCCTTGCAGACAGCAAACGGGAGGAAGGAGGGAGCAGAACCAGGAGGGAATGGCGGCGGGGCCGGTGGTCACGATCAGGTTTCCAGTCACGGAGGCAGCGTGGGTCGTTCTGTAAATAAATGGCACAACTGAGTAGCTCTCTGGAAGATAAAACGCTCTGCCTATCTTCACCAAAAAAGAGAGGCACCGTCACCCTCACCTGCAGCCCTGAAGGGCTCCAATGGGGCCGAGTGTGATCATCAATTGACGTTAAAGAGAAATCCTTGGAAACGTACAAAGCACTTGCCAAGCATTCCCTCTTAGGTTAAAGACATCTCAGGTGGAGCAAGGTCTTAAACATTGAAACCGTGGCTGGCGCAGCGGCTCACACCAGTCATCCCAACACTCTGGGAGTCAGAGGCGAGAGGATTATCTGAGCCCAGGGGTTCAGATCAGCCTGGGCAACTTGGCGAGACCTCGTCTCTACAATAAATCAAAAAATTAGACAGGTGTGATGGTACGTGCCTGTAGTTCCAGCTACTTGGAAAGCTGAGGCAAGAGAATTGCCCGAGCTCAGCAGTTCGAGACTGCAGTGGCCCTGAGCATGCCACTGCACTCCAGCCTGGGTGACAGGGAGACTCCAACTCAAAAACAAAAACAAAACCAGAAAAAACAAAACCCTCAAAATACAACAAATTTTAAATGATTTAAAAAATTAATTTAGAGAGGGAAAGACCTTTTGAAATAGGGCACAAAGCCCAGATGTCAGAAATAAGAAGCCACATAAATCTGACTCCTTGCAAGTCAGGATTTCATCCAGGGAAAAAGCATCATCAGCAAAAAACAAACTGGCACCTCTCAGAATGGGCTGAGGGTTTGTGTTCTTAATACTTCAAGGACCCTCCAGCCCAATGAGGAAAAAGAACGACTCGAGTACAAAGCTGGCCAGGAAAGCACAGGAGGGGTTCACAGAGGAGCGAGCAGCCTCCTGAAGGCTGAGAGGAGGCTCAGCCCCCTTCAAGAAAGAAAGAAAGAAATAGGAATCACGGTGCACACAAGGGGTTCTTTTTCACAATCAAATCAGCCAAGTGGCACATGCTCCTACTCGACTGCTGAGAGTGTGAGTTGGTCCTGTCTCAGGAGAAAGTGACTGGGCCCAGTGACAGCTAGACATTCACATGCCCTTCAACCTGGGAGTGCAGCTCCTGGGGATCCCCTGGGGTAAGATATAAAAGTACATCCATCGGGCCGTGGTCCAGAAGCATCGCTTGGAGATGGCCCAGAGGCTGGTGGGGTAATGGATGGAATGGAATCACCCACGAAACGGAGCCCAGGCAGTTGTTTAAGAAGCATGACTGCTCTGCCTGCCGGCTGAGAGGGTCCTCGGGAGAAGACACGGAGACAAATCAGAGGCAGAAGCTTGTGTGTGGCACTGACGATGTCACCTGTTGTGGGAACAAAAGCCAACTTCACACACATGCATTTATGAAAGTAATGTCCACACGTATGCCAGAGCCAATTCAGTTCATTTCTGGAAGAGTCTGTGGGAGGGTGACCTGGCGGCTACTGTGAACTGGAGCTGAGTGTCTGGAGATAAGAGGACACTTTCCACAGAGTACCCTTTCATAAGTTCTAGATTTTGTTCTGGCACAAACAAATAAAGCCATTTAAAAACAATACAAGTGGCTGGATGCAATGGCTCACATCTGTCATCCCAGCACTTTGGGAGGCTGAGGTGAGAGAACCGCTTGAGCTCAGGAGTTCGAGGCCCACCTGGACAACATAGCTAGACCTTGTCTCTACAATAAGTAAAAAAAAATTAGCCAGGCACAGTGGTGTGCACCTGTAGCCTCAGCTACTTGGGAGGCTGAGGCAGGATGATCACTTGAGCCCAGCTGTCCACTGCCCCTCCCTGCTCCAGCCACCTCCATCCACCCACCCACTCCAAGTGCCAGCTAAGCCAGGGCCTGTCGACCCCAGCAGGCAAGTGTGGGGCTGGACAGGGAGCAGCGAAGGGAATCTAACACCATTGGTGCGACTCTCCCCACTGAGACGTGCCCCAGAACATGCGAACAGGTCCCATGGAACACAGGACTGTCCCAAGGTACCTGGCAAGGCTCCCATGTGGCTGGAAGTCCTTCCTCCTTCCCAATGGCATTCCCCAGTCCCTGCTGGGATCACCCAGCCCAGGGTGGGGTGCAGGTGCCCCTGGGGAAGAGGGTGGCACAGAGGCAAACTGACAGCTCCACTTGGAAGAGCAGTGATATGGACCTTTCAGGTTAGTCTGGGCTTTGAGAGTGTCAGCTCAATGGGTCGGCCAGCCAAGCCCCAGAGAGCATCATCAAGGGGCTGGTAAGCCTAGCCCTGGAAGTGTCAGCTCTAATGGACTGACAAGCCAAGCCCTGAGAGTGTTGCTGGTTCAGTGGGCTGGCAAGCCTGGCCCCCGACCTGTCTCAGCTTCAGAGTGTCACCTTCTTCTGGCAGCTGTCCTGGTTCAGTTGGCTCTGTCGCCTGGCAAGCCAGCCTCTGGGGTGCATGGTTCTTTGGCTTCAACGATCTTCTGCAGCTCTTCAGGTTGCAGCTCTTCCAGGTCGAGGTTCTTGTCTCATACCCAGGAAGAATGAGGGACACGGACAGCCGGAAAGTGAGAAAGCAGGAATTACTGAACACAGATAAGCTCCCACAGTGGGAGGGGACCCAAAGGGGTTGCCCTTCTGGGACCAAAATCCTGATGCTTATGTAGCCCTAAGTCTAAGCTGATTGGCTAGCACTAACTGTGAACTGTAGCTGTTCTGATTGGTCAGTATTAAGGTAGGGACCTAATGGTGAGCTGATTGGTTACTTTTCAATCCCAGCAGTGAGTACTTAAGCTTGAGTTTGAGAGGCTTGCAGGGAGCTCGTTTACCAACGCTGAGCCTGAGAGGCCTGGTGGGAATTCACTGCATTGTTATCAGAGAACCTGCCTGTCTGTCTGCCTAGGCTTTCTCTAGCTATCTCTTGTCTCATTAGCCCCAGGGAACCCAGGGGGGAGAGACCAGGCTGACTATCCCCAACCAGACCCAGCATCAGAGTGCCAGAGGAACACTGGAAATGCATGTTCCCAGGCCGGCCCACCATGAAGGCAGCTCTTCCAGAGGGCTGGGCCAAGGATTTCACACTTTACACATTTTCCCAAATGACTCAGAGGTATAGCCCACCCAAGAGGTGCTGTCTGTGGCCCCAGGCCAAGCCACTTGTGGGCAGGGAGAGAAACTGAGTCCCAGAGAGAGAAGTGACTCATTGGGACCACCCAAAGGCCAGAGGAGAGCCAGGGAGTGTCCCTGCCATCCACTCTGTGCTTGTGTGAATGAGCACAGGCCAGAGGCCCACAGAGCACCCAGGATCGACAGGCTGGAGCTCTCCACGGGGCCAGCCCAGAGCATCAGCAGGACGGAGGCAACCAGGGTGGGGTTGGAGTGACTGAGGACTCAGCCCCAAACCTTATGTGGAGAAGACACAGGAGTTTGGGTCTGTTGGGCGTCTGTGTGTGCCCTGGTATTCCCATTACCCTTCCCACTGTGCAGATGAAGACACTGAGGGAGAGGCCCACGTCAGGGAGCACAGAGCCGACTGTCAGCCCCGGGGTGTGGCTCTGAATCCTGTCTTTTCACAGCCCCCGAAAATCTCCCCAGCCCCTGACCTTATCCCATACTCTGGACGCATTTCAGGCAACAGGTGTCAGATGGGGTCTGTGGTGGACAGCCAGGGAGGCATTCATGTCTCCATCTCACAGAGTCATGAGCATGCAAAGCTGGGCTCAGCACCTCCTGTCTGCTGTGTGACCCTGGGCAAGTGACTCGACCTCCCGGTCTACGTTTCCTCATCTGTAAAAGGAGTTAAAGTCAACTACTCCTCAGAGTTCTCAGAGGAAGTCAGCTCATCATCAAAACATGGCGCCATCTAATGTTGACTGGACTTGAGGTGCCCGCACTGCACTGGGTATGCCACAAGTGTCACTGCTGCCCCCATGACAGCTCTGCCAGGCTGTGCTGTTATAGCCCATTTGACTGATGGGGAAACTGAGAGGTTAAGTAATTTGCCCAAGGTCACACAGTCAAAGTCGAGACCCAGACCCAGAACTGGCATTCTTTGTTTTTTCATATATATGTATTTGAGTTGGAGTCTCACTCTGTTGCCCAGGCCAGCATACAGTGGCATGCTCATGGCCACTCTAACCTCAGTCTGCTGGGCTCAGGCAATCCTTCTGCCTCAGCTTTCCAAAGTAGCTCAAGCACAGGTATGTGCCACCACACCTGGCTAATTTTTTGATTTATTGTAGAGATGAGGTTTCACCAAGTTGTCCAGGCTGGTCTTGAACTCATGGGCTCAGGAAATCCTCTCACCTCAGACTCCCAAAGTGCTGAGATTATAGGCGTGAGCCACCATGCCCGGCCTCATTTATATTTTTAATTGACAAATTAAAGTTGCATATATTGACTGTGTGCAACATGTTGTTTGAAATATGTGTACACAGTGAAAAAAATGGCTAAATGGAGCTAATTAATGTCTGCATGACTTCACGCTTACCTTTTTTTGTGGTAAGAACACCTTGCCCTTTTCACAAGATGGCGCCAAAGGCCAAGAAGGGAGCTCCTGGCACACATCCTGCGCCTGCCCCTCCTAAAACCAAAGCCAAAGCAAAGGCATTGAAGGCCAGGAAAGCAGTCCACAGCCACAAAAAAAGAAGATCTGCATGTCACCCAGTTTTCAGAGGCCCAAGACTCTGTGGCTCCAGAGGCAGCCCAAATATCCTCAGAAGAGTGCTGCCAGGAGAAACAAGCTTGACCATTATGCCATCATCAAGTTTCCCCTGACCATTGAGTCTGCCATGAAGAAAATAGAAGACAACAACACACTTGTGTTCATTGTGGATATTAAAGCCAACAAGCACCAGATAAAACAGGCTGTGTTACCTGCCTGGGCAACTTGGCGAGACCTCATCTCTACAATAAATCAAAAAATTAGCCGGTCGTGGTAGCGTGAGCCTGTAGTTCCAGCTACTTGGAAGGCTGAAGTGGAAGGATCGCTGGAGCCCAGCAGGTCGAGGCTGCAGTGGCTGGGAGCGGCCACTACACTCCTGTCTGGGCGACAGAGTGAGACTCCAACTCAAAGAACAAAACAAAACAAAACAAAAACAGGCTGTGAAGAAGCTCTATGACATTGATGTTGACAAGGTCAACTCCCTGATTAGGCCTGATGGAGAGAAGAAGGCATATGTTCGACTGGCTCCTGATTATGATGCTTTGGATATTTCCAACAAAATTGGGATCATTTAAACAGAGTCTGGCTGGCTAATTCTAAATATATATCTTCTCACCATAAAAAAAAGAACACCTCAAATCTCCTCTCTCAGCAATTGTCAAGTACAATACCTGGTTATTAACTAGAATCACTATGTTGTGCAATGGATATCTTTCTTCTTCTTCTTCTTTTTTTGGGGGGGAGTCGGGGGTCTCAATCTGTTGCCCAGACTGGAGTGCAGTAGCACACTCACAGCAATCCTCCTGCCTCAGCCTCCCAACTAGCTGAGACTACAAGTGGATGCCTCCACATCTGGTTAATTTTGTTGATCTTTTGTAGAGATGAAGTCTCACTATTTCCCAGGCTGGTTTTGTGCTCCTGGGTTCAGGAAATCCTTCCGCCTCAGCCTCCCAAAGTGCTGGCATGACAGGCATGAGTCACCGTACCTGTTGATAGTTCTGTTTTAACCATTGTGGACCCTCTGTCTTGTTTTCATAGTGACTGCTCCTCTTCCAACCCCACAGGGTGTACCTGTCCCTTTGTGCCAAGTCACGGCCTCTCCAGCATGCGCCGTCTCCTGTCATGCTGATCACAGCCACGCTAACAGTTGTAAGCTGACATCTCACCACAGTTTCAATGGGTGCCTCCCTGTTGGTGGTTGGGGCCAAAGCAAAGTAGTAGCTTTTCTCATGTACCTGTTGGCCACTTGGGCACCCTCCTCCCAGGGCTAGAGTGCCACTGAGTGGACACATGGCCCATCCCCACTGTTAGCAGGGTGCAGAGTCTGAGGCAAGAGGACACAGGCAGGGTTGGATGGGCAGCACATGGGCTGGCCCCCAGGAGATGGAAGCAGGAGGTCACCATGGCCCCATTACTCGTGTGAAAAACAACAACAAAATTCTCCCTCTTCATCCTGCAACCTGCTTAGTGGGATTCTGTCTCCAAGTCCCTGTGGAGAGCCATTGGGTGGCTTAGGGAGAGCCCGGCCCCATGAGGAGCATGCATTGTGGCCAGGCTGGTCGGCCCATCCTCGGGGGACACGGGCAAGTGTGAAACTCTCAGAGGCTTGAGCCACCCACACCATCCCCACAGCCAGGCTCTGGGTGCCCTCATGATTGTGCGGGACCGTGGTTCGCAGGCCAGTTGGCAGGCTCTAAAATGAATCCATGACAAGGTCCCCTGTCACCAACACCAGCCATTGGGACTTCAGCTTTGAGAGTGCCTTTCTGGAGAGGAGCTTTGTCTGACTCCTGAGCAGAGTGGGGGTCTCAGGAAAGCTGTCAGGAGAAGGCATGCCTCAGGCATGCTCATGAAAAGCGAGGGGGGGGGCAGAAGGAAAGAAATGATTCCAGCACACCTCATGTGTTCCAGGCATGTACACAGCCAGACTTGGGGTCACTACCCAGTAGTGCACTGAGTTGGCAGGGCTCCCCGTTCATCAGATGAAGGAACTGAGACTGGTAGGGATCTCGAAGTGTGGTCCAAGGTCACAGGCTGAATGAGCGGCAGACACAGGACAGAAAAACAAGGTGACATCAGCCAGGACGCCTGTCCGCCAAGCACCTCCCACACCTGTGTTCACCTGAACAAACAACAGAGAACCCAGCAGCAGAGATGAGCTTATTTTACAGAAGAGGAAATGGAGGGCCAGGAAGGTCCACGGCTCTCAGGTGGGTGGTCTGTCATAGCACAAACTCAGCACTGTCCGAACCCCTTGGATTGTGAGAAATCCAGAAGCCAGCGGGGTGTGCAGCCATGATGGAGTAAAGGCTGCACCTTTGAGGTTGTGTCCTGCTTTTCAAATGTTTGTAAACTGCTGTTATATCGGGGGAAAAGTCTACATTAAAGCATAATCTGTTCTAAGCCAGGCTTAGTGGCTCATGCCTGTAATCCTAGCCCTTTGGGAGACTGAGGTGGGAGGATTGTTTGAGCCTAGGAGCTGGAAACTAGCCTGGGCAGCATAATGAGACCTCATCTCTACAAAAAAATACACATACATACATACATAAAGCATGATCCATTTTAAAGGATAACTAATTCTCCATGGCTTTTTCTCTGTATCCCTCCCCACACCCAGTCCTGATCAATGGCTGCCAAAACAGAGTCATGGAAGCTTGGGGGGCAGAAGCCAGGCTGGATGTGTCAGAAGCTTTTGTGATGGACAGGTGGGGCTGGGTTGCCTTCCCCTGTGGGAGCACTGCGGTGATTCCTTGAGGGATGGGATTTGGCACACGCGCCCCAACAAGGGCTTGGAGGTGGTTTCCTGCAAGGTGCAGAAGCTTGAGGGAGACTGGGCTTGCTTCCCGTGACAGAATGTGACAGCCTCTCGAGAGCAGGGTGGCTATGAGGCCTCTGCTCCTGGCTCCATCCCACCAGGTCTCATCAGGGATCCAGGTGGGAGGACGGTTTCTCATAGGCACGGCCTCCTCAGGGCACAGGGCTGGAGCTTGAGGGCTGAGACACTTGTGCAGACTCCCTCATGGCCTCTGCTCAGACGAGCTACTCGTGTCAGTGCCCCTCCATGTGTCATCGGCCTGCATCCTTGGGGTCAGGCGGTGTGCTCTGCTGCCTGAGAAGGGACAGTAAATGCTCGCCAAACAGTGTTGGAGGAGGGTGGCCCTGCTGATGGCCACCTAGGCAGGGAAGTCTTAGGGCTGAGGGGCCAGGATTCAGGCCACAGACCTTTTGACCTGGGCATGCCTGGCCATCAGCTGGAGGTCCTGGGGATGGAGGTCCATTGAGGCCCTTTGCTGAGCTCAATTATGTCTGACTTTTCCCAGGTGCAGTGACTTCAGACTCAGAGCCTCAGAGGATTTGGCTGTCCGCCCCTGACCTGTCCCCAGGGAGTGCTCCCCACACTGGCTCATGAAACATTCATTTCCCCTAACACAAATATTTTTACCCTTTAGAAAACTTATTGGATTCTGAGAAGCATTAACAATCCCACTCTCTGCTCTGGCGAAAGCCAGAGGTCATAAATTATTGATGCCACTAGCCAGAGAAGAGGCTGCTCATCTTCCTTGCTCTGAAGATGCTGCCCTGACTGGTGTCTCAGAAGGAGTGGCATGTTGGGGGATCGTGCAGAAGGAGGGTCTTTATTGCCCTGGGCATGGGAAGGAAGAAGTAGGGCCCCTTTTGTTTGCAGGCAAGTGGGGCTGATTCCTGGCCTTCCTTCCCCTGGTTGAGGGTTCCCATGTGGTGACGTGGCTGGAGTGACAGGCCTGGCAAAATTCCTTGTCTGCCCCCAGATGGCTGTGTGACCCTGGGCCAGTGACTTGGCCTCTCTGAGCTGTGGTCTCTGTGCCCCTAGATCGGGCAGTGCTGCCTGTAGCTCGGGACTGTCGGCAGATGAGAAATGATGAGTGTGAAGATATTGCCATCCTCCACTGGGCCCTGATAAGGGTCATCTTTTTCCTTTTCAAACACCATGCTCACTCTGAGATCCCAGAGTGCTCCCAGCCTGGCTCCCTTGGAGACTCTCAGGGCTGCCCAGAGGCCCCTATAGAGCAATCCAGCTGTGCCCAGGCTGGGTCTGTTCACCCAGAAGTAACATCAGCATGGATCCATGCCAGAGCCCCCAGGGGCCACCGTGCCCTCATCTGTCACCCAAGCCACCTTCCCCCCAGCCTGCCATCCCAGGGGACCTATCAGCACCTCAAGGCTCAGTAGGGCTTGATACATCAGCCTCTGTGGCAGTATTTGCTGGAGGCGCAGAGGAGGGAGGCTGGGTACAGAGGAGGGAGGCTGGGTGTAGAAGAGGGAGGCCAGGTGTGGAGGACACCAGCTCAGAATCCAGGAGCTGGGCCAGCCTGAACCCAGCAGGGAGACTGGGCACTTGGGCTGTTGTCCTGGCTGCCGCCTGCTGTCCAGGCAGGAGGGAAGGTAGAATCAGAGCCCACAGGGAACCCAGGTCAGGGAGGGGCATAGAGGCTGGACACCCTGTTTGCCTCCCTCCCAGACGATGAGAGATGGGGACACACCCAGAAACCCAGAATCATGGCACCCAGGCCCGACTGGAGGTGTCCATGAACACTGAAGCTCTCTCCTCACCCAACCCCAAACCTTGAGTGCAAAGACTTTGGGTTGTATAAATCAGAGCAGAGGCAGGGTATCCATGCCGGGGTTGGCAGGAGCAGGCATTCCTCTGATGAACTTTCTGGGGGGTGCATGTGAGCCCCTGGAGGTGGCCCTAGCCACAGATGGGACAAACCATCATGACTGAAAAAAATGGCCTGGACACCACTGGCCTGTCCAAACACCACACCTGGGTGAAGAAACCCAGAGAAGCTGAGAGGTTTGGACCACATCACACAGCAGGTGAGGGTGGAGCTGGCCCAGGCCCAAACCCAACCCGGGTGGCTTGCTGTTTCCTCTTTCTCCCGGTGCCCTTAGCCATGGGGGTCTCACGCTTTCCACCTGTGAAATAGAGACAACCACAGGCACCTCCACCCAGAGGCAGACAAGCCAGGGGGTCACGCAGGACGCAACTGTGCTCAGTCAGGAATTGTACACCCTGCCGGGGCTGGAGCCAGACTGGGAACCAGGGAGTCAGGGTCTCGCCACCATCCTCCTCCTTGAGCGATCTCTCTGGGGTCTGCATTTTATGGGAGGGAACTGATGGCCCTGTAGGCAGTGAGGAGCTGGCCCCCCTGGAGAGGCAGGAGCATGTCCCCCCATGTGCAGCAGATGGGCTGCTGCCCACTCCCTGGTGCACCTGACCTCCCTGGTGGCCATGGCCCTTGGTCCCATTCCTTGGCAACTCCATGGTGCCCACTTCACAGCCAAAGCCTCTCTCATCTTCCCTGTATAAAGAGCCGAGAGCCCTGAATTGCAGTCCCAGCCCTGAACTTGACTGTGATTTTGGGCACAGCATTTCTCCGTCTCCTCTTCTCCAGAATGGGGAGCTCCAAGCTGATGGAGGTTCAAACCACTCTGGGTCTGCAAGGATGTGCATGAGCTCAGCAAAGGCCCGAGAGGTGTGGCCCACTGGAGGCCAAGCATGAAGCACTGCCAGAACCAGACAGCTGTGTTAGGC